CGCCAATCCACTCGAACTAGGCTGCTGGTAATCCATCTTCTGGTTTCTGTCACTGTAATACACTAATATTGCACTACAATTCAATATATTATATAACATTACGCGACTCACCTTCACTTTAACGAAAAACGCGGGAAACAACTGGGAAGGGCCCCTTACGCGTACCTATTGTTGCACATAGATACATCCATGGAAACAACCGCCGTCGAGCTGTGACGTCAGCATGCGCATGCGCACGAAGGCTCCCATGTGGGAGAAAATCCCACGTCCTGGCATCACTGGGCAGTAGTTTGTTTGAGGTAAAGCGGCCACGTGGACTAACGCACGCGACACCATTCTCGCGGCGCGCGTCTTTTGTTCGTCGTTCGCGCGGCCGGTGAGCGTCCATTGTTTGTCGTCTGTTCGACATCCATTATCCGTCGCCCGACATGTTTATTTCGTCGTTTAACATGTTTTATTCGTCGTTCGATATGTAGCAAGTCCGGATAACCCAGTATTGTTGCGGGAAAAGCTACAAAAGACCGTTTTTGATTAGGTCGCTTAAATGTTCAGTACATCCGTGCGTCTTATTTCATTTTTTCTCTTTACAATTTGCGCATATAGGCTAGGTTTTGTTACCCCGCTTATCGTTGGTGGGCTCGTATATCTTGCCCATACTCAGTGCGCTGAGTTATTTGTAGTTTTCGCGTCATTGTGCGTGTGGGTGTATACCATGGCGTCATCAAGGGCTCCCGACGACGAGTTGGCGGACATGCTTCGTCGCGTGGAACTGGCAGAAGCGCGTGCCGCGCAGGCGGAGGCGCGGTTCGCCGCTACGCAGCAACCGGTCGCGTCTGTGCCGCCGATCGGCCCGTGCGCGCTCGACGCGGAAGCGCCTCCATACTGGGTGGATTCCTACCGCGTGCCGCCGATCGGCCCGTGCGCGCTTGACGCGGAGGCGCCTCCATACAGGGTGGATTCCTACCGCGTGCCGAAGATCCCAACTTTTTTTCGCGGCGATCCGGATCTCTGGTTTCTCCAAATGGAAATCTCCTTCCGCAATGCGCGGATCACGGCGGAGGCCACAAAAGCCGACACCGTTCTCGCGGCGCTCGACGTGGAAGTATTGAGCACGGTAAAAGATATTTTACTGTTGAATCCGCCCCCCGCCGACATTTACCGTCGCATCAAATCGCGACATTCGCGGTATCGCCGGAAGCGAAACTGCGTAAGCTTCTAAGGGAGCAGGTGCTTACCGATGGAAAGCCCTCCCTGATTCTCAGCCGGCTGAGAAATTTAAATGACGGAGCCTGTGATGACTCGGTAATTCGATCTATATTCTTCGATCAGTTGCCGTCAACTCACCGCGCGATCTTGGTAGCGACCGACGATCTGAACAGGCTGGCGGAAACGGCCGATAAGTTGGCCGACTCCGCGGCAGTGATGCCAGAATCGTGGAACTTGGTTCCACCACCACGACGTCCTGGCTACCCCCACTTTATTCCACAGTTGCTGCCACACAAGCATACTTTGCTTCTATTCGTGTGAGCTGGCCCGTTCGGGTGTTTCCGTAAGATCTACGTTACCAACGCGACTCCCAACAACCAGAGCGCGTGCGCAGGAATCATTTCGTGTGCTGACGTCCTGGCTACCCCCACTTTACGTCCACCGTGCTGGCACACACACCCAGGTATATCCCAGCCCTGTCCATGTGTGCAGGCCGTTCGAGAGACGGTGAGCTATATTTAGAAAAGAGTGGGGGAAAGCGACCCACGATTCTGGCATCACTGCTTGCCTTGGAAATCCTGTTCGAATACGACTGCGGCGAAAATTCACGTTCTCGACGCGATGCCCCGCAACCTAAGCGCGTGAACAGTCAAGAAATCCTGTTCGAATCCCAATGCGGCGGTTTTACTTTTTATTTTTAATTATTTTATAATTTCACTTTGTAACCTCTAAGTAAAATAAAAAAGTTAAAAAATATTGATTCAGGAAGCATTTAAAAAGAAGAAAATAAATGTTTTCCACTTCAATGTCTAAATTTTTTATTATATACATACATATTATGTTGTATACACATAAATTATTTTTACAATTAGATGTTACCCGCTAAAAACCGCTGCAGCTGGTCCACGTATATGCCGAATGGTCTTTTGCTTTTCTTCATATGAAAAGAAAAAAACACAATTGAAATAGTAATTTTAATAACATAAGATAAAATATTAAGATTGCTATGAACTTATCTTTTTTTTGTTGAATTATTCTGTAATTTCGCTTCCTCAATTTTGAGTAGAAGTTTCGCAGCTAACGAAAGTAACGAAGTACGATAGTCTTGCTTATGTATATATCTAAAAAGAAAAAAATTTATAAATATAATTATAATCATAATTGTCATAGCGTAAGATAAAATATAAATATTATCGTAAACTTATCTTTTTTCTGGATAGAAAAAAATCCATCGCTGAAAATGTAAGATATTACGCGGAAGAATTATATGCGAAAAAAATACACGCGGCGGAAGTACGTCGAAAGAAATACACGAACAAGCGACTACAATACAATTGTAATTATGTAATAACTTTAAAATGGACCCCCTAAGCCTGACATCTCTGACTACACTATTCAACAGGTAAAATACCTCACATCACAACTGTTAATAAGCGTTTCTGATAAATCTTTATGAAGTGAATGCGAATCTGAGAACCGTTTTCTCATAGCACGTTCATTTTGAAGGAATCAAATTAAATCGAATCTTAAAAATTTCATTTTTGAAGAAATGTGGTGCTTCTACAGTAATAGTTATTTCGTGTCAAAAGCGACTCAATAACTATTACTGTAGAAGCACCACATTTCTTCAAAAATGAAATTTTTAAGTTTTATTTTAATTTGATTTCTTCAAAATGGACGTGCTGTGAGTAAAACGGTTCCAGATTCGTATTCACTTCATAAAGATTTATCAGAAACGTTTATTAATGGTTGTGAGAGAACGCTACTTCTGTGCATACGCGTGCAAGGTTAACTGTTTAAAGTTTTCCGAGGGCGATGTACTAGCGTATGATTGCTTCCCCGACATAAGACTTAAATGTCTATCATCGATAGACATGGTGCGGCTAGTCTCGTGTCTAGCTCTTAAGGATGTGCGCACCACACATATGGAATTTAGGAGGTCAACTCCTACTTTATTTCGCTTTTTAGATTTGATGTCGGGGAGCATTGAAAATATCCTTTCTGATTCCGCGTTTGAATGTGGTAGACATCGGACAATATTAACTAGTTGGGTGATATGGGGAAGAAGACGAGTGTTTTGGGGATTCTCTCGATTGCCGATGTCTATCCACATGTCGTCGAAGGATAACCTCGACCAGTTATCTTTATCCGCGACGGAAGTGCCATTGTACAAATAATCCCACTCTTTTTTTAAATTGAAAATGTCGCAATTCCCTATTCGTTGAGCGACGACCGCAAGGTTTCCAAAAAGTAAATCTCTATCGCTATTACTAAATACATTCGCCGATTTCAAAACCGTCAATTGCCCTAAGAAAATATCGTCATGCGGAAGACGATTCCTGATCTCATTGCTTACGGTAATATAAAACCGTAAACAATTTTCGCGGAAGAAAGAAATCTCGACGTCCGTCATCCCATTATTCATTGCCCCTTCCAAATGCTCTTCGCAATCAGTACCAAGATCCACTTGTCTAAGTGGAAGTTGGTTTGATTTGCAAGAGAAATCTATGTGTCGAACGAAATTTAAATGCTTCAAAAGAAGCGGTTTCAGAAACCTACGCAAAAAGAATTGAAGCAGCCGTGTTGAAGACAGCTGCAATTCTCGTATCATCGTACGCCTGCTTTGGAAGGAGGCATTAAAACTATTTAAAATATTTAAAGTAAACTCTAGAAAATAAAAATACCCTTTAATATCGTGTTTTTGTAAACTTGAATAAAAATTTTTGGCAGCTTCCGATTTTTCCGGAAATGAATGTTCGTAAAAAAAGCGAACTAGATCATCCCATATCTCTAAAAATCTCTTGACACACTGGTGCATCGCAAGCCAGCGTGTGTCGGAGAGCCTTAAAACCTTTAAAGGAGAGTTCGCATAACTCTCCTGGAATTGACGAAAAATAGCAGTCCGTTTTGGACTGCTATTGATAAAAGAAACAACACCCCGGAGTAGTTCGATGCATTCCTTAGGAAGAGTAGCGCACGCAGAATAGCGCACGCAGCACTAGCAGCCAACGCGACCGAATGACTTTTGAAGGAAGAATGTCTGCTAGTCATCACCGAAGCATTGTCACAACTAAGGCCAGCGATGTTTTTCAGC